AAAGATATTTTTAACAGGTTGTATTTTTATTAAATATATAAAGGGAATTTTGACACTATCTAAATGAAATCTATGTGGAATTCGCAAATCACATATTAATATGTGAAATTAGATAAACCCGATCAAAAGGAATTTCGCATCCAAACATTTAATTGTTATTATAGATTTTAATTTCCAATTTCACATATAACAGTACCGATTCGAATAGTCATATACAAGGGTTCTATTTAAATATGAAGTAATTGGGAAAGTCTCCAAGTTGTCACTCTTTCCTCCAAACCATTTTGTCAAAAGCTGAGAAACCCACACGGTCACCCAAGCAAATATAGCTACTCTTGGCAGTTTGAGTTTGACAAATTTGACCATGACCTTATGTCCTTCCCGTGCTTTGAAAATGAGTGATAATTCTAACAGTTGAGAGCCTTTGCACTTGATGCATTGGAATAAAATAGAATATGGAAGAAATAGAGTGCTGCGTCAAAATCCTTACTTGCTTAGATGTGTTATTGAAGAATCTCAACCAACAGATGAAACTAGAATTTGTAAAAGGTTCTATTTTTTTTTAGAAAAACTCTTTATTACATCGTTCCTTAGTATTGTAGAATAAAATTATAGCGTTTTTTCTTCTATCTTGTGTGGCTGTAAAGCAATATTTCTGATGTCGACTTATCCTAAACTATTAAACGATCCTGAAGTATAATTGTTGTTATGTCATTGTTTTTATGAAAACATTTTAAAAATCAATTTAATTAATTACATCAGATTACTATAATCGCACCTATCAATTGATAATTACAACAACACGTTCGAACAAATAGAAGTTGTGCCCATTGAATATTCATTCGTTTTATATCCATTCAATCAATTAAATTCAATATTCAGATAATCATTTGGTGAATAATTAAAATATATTCATTGTTAACAAAAACTAAATTTATTTATCAAAAAAAAAATCTTTTCAAATAAGAGTGGATCAAGTTTTAAGTGTGTAATATAATTAGATGTAGATTCACCAACACATACTAAAACATTACAAGGAAAAATAATATCAAAACTTCAGAGACATTGAATTGACAAATAGCTTCTTTAAATTTTTCTCCATCTTTTACAATTTCAGTCTTTTCCATCAAGTTCCATATCTAAAACTTGACTTCTTAGAACCATCCTTTACTTCAAAATATGAGCAGTAGAAAATTCATCCCTTCTCATTATTGTATTATTTATTACTTTCTCCTATTATAGTGATTGAAGGCTCTTCTTCCATTTAAATTTAATTAATTAGATGAATGAGAATGTATTACATTCGGTCAAATCAATTCATTGGATGGGAACCTCCACGAACAATGATAAAATAAAATTAACTTGCATCTATTTTCCAATGATTGGATCAAATCACAAACTTTTTTTCGACATTATTATCACATATTCTCTGTTAGGTTGAGATTCAAGTAATTAATATTGCGATATTATTTGTCGCAGTACTTCTAATTTTGCGCCGAGAAGTTTTTAGAGCAAAAAATAAATATATAGAGAGTAATTTTTTTTTTGTAAAGGACGATATACGGATATAATTAAAGTGTAAAGTGCGGGAGAAAATCATAAAATTGTATCACTTGAGTTATATATTCTTTTTTAATTTTTATCACTGATAATCCAAACGGCTTTACGAACTTCACTAAAACCACATTTTCAATATTTTTGAATTCATAAATGGAATCAATTCAATATAATGTATATCCTCTGTATATTTTTTTTACATACATAAAAGAAATCTTGCTATTTCTTTATTTCCACTTAGCTCATCTTCTTTTTTTCTTTTCAGTCTATCAAATAGTTTGTTAAATAGTAGTAATAAATGATACGACGGAGATTTTTACTATATCAAACGAATTTGATTGGATGATAAGCAAAATTTATTAATTGACAAGCTACTTTTTAAATATTAAATATTAACAAATTAATAATGACTTCTGAAAATAATAACAATACACTTGACACACTGCGTCAAGAAGCTCGTAGTAAACAGATTATTGGTAACAATAGTATTAAATTTAACAAAGCTCCACTTTTTTCCCCACATTCCAGGCCATATTATATATTTAGCGTAGGAATAACACTTGGTAAGAAAACTATCTTCCATTCAAAACTAAATTGACCAAGTTGTTTTAATTAGTTTAGTTCATCGATTCATTCGTGCTTTTACTATTTTTAGTTACAGGTGTATATTTAGTATTATATGCAGATTTTGATCAAAAAGATCATTGTTTTATACCGGTAGTTATATATATATATATATATATATGTATACATGTATTTTTATGCTTTAAAAAAAAATTTTATTTTTAATAAATAATTTATTTTAATTTGTAGATTAGAAGATGGTACAAAAGTAAGATGGATTCATTTTGGACTCTTAGTGATAAAGAAAAAAAAGAATTAAAAGAACAGGGAAAGATATAATCAATTATAGATTATTTAAACAGAAAGAAATAAAGCTTTTTAATTTTATAAATTTTATAATTTATAATTGTTTTTATTCTTTGAAAAATCTTTTTATCCAACTAATAAATTATGACTTCCACCAACTAGATATCCAACAAAACATTCATCTAACATTAATTCATAATTAATCCATGCATGAATATCCACTGATTAATAAATAATAAATAAGATTAATTTTTCTCATCCATCTTTTCAAAAAACAAAATGATAAAAAAAATTATTTATCAAATGAGCCTGCTTACTAAATAATTTTGTTCCATCCTTTCCTGCTCCTCGCATTAATTCTTTTTCGCCTAAAAAGTTCAGTTACAAAGATTTTTTAATTAATTTCTTCTTTTTTTACACATCACATAAATTTAATTCCCATTGCCATCTTATCTTATTAATTTGAAAACTACATTAAAAAATACGCCATCCATTTCTATACTAACCACCAGGATGAAATTTTATATATGGAGTAATGTTATATATCTTTCCATTAAACGCTGACCATGCATCATCTCTTCTATTATGTTTCTTTAATTCTTCAAGTGTATAATTTCTTATTTCTGAAACTCCCTAATAATAAAAAATATTAGTCATAAATTAATTAGCAATCCCGTTCAAACAAACACATAACATATCTTACTTTTAAATCGACTCCACTACTCTTAAGTTTTGCCCAATCCAGAGATGAATGTCCAGGTTCTAGTATAATTTTTTTCCGCAATTTATTAGATTTCTCTATAGGAGTCAACTTTTTAGACTTGCTTACTGTTAGTGATGATGATGATGATGATGATGATGATGCTGATGGATTTATTGGTGATTTGGCACGTTGTGGACTATTTATCATTGGAAATGTTGTTGTTGACTCTGTTATAATTAACAACAAAATTAGTAGTTAATCACGTCGGTTTGGACCATGCGTGTATATGTATGTATGTATAAAAGTGTTTTCTACCATCATTAACCGAGATTACAAGATTTGAATTAATAGTTATGGGTACATCGATTTCAGGATTGTTGGTTGAATTTGAAGAAGTCGCCTCTATCTTTACATCACTTTCTTGCTCATTGTCCACTGCAGAATTTTGTTCGGTGGGATCGCTGAATACACTATTATAAAGTCTAGAAGCTAAAGAATACATTGTATTTTATAATAAATAAATAAATAAATAATAAATAAATAAATAAATAAATAAATAAATAAATAAAATAATGAATGAATGAATTCTTGATCAAAAAATTAATTCTAACGTTATGTCGTACTTGATTCGGATTCGGTAAAATAATAATTATAATAGTAATAGTAATAGTAATAGTAAATTTTATAATAGTAAATTTTATAATAGTAATAATTTAATTGACAGCCAACTCAAAATTGGGCACGTTTTTTTTATTATTATATTTTTTTTTCTTTGAAAATTATTTTTTTATAATTCAAGATGTGGCTATCAGATACTCAAAGTATGTAAATTTCAACAGATTTTCCTTTTCTGTAATCACAACGATTCATAACAATATTTGTTTTCTATTAAATATAAAGAGATTGGAGTTGGTTTAACAGCATTCGGAACATTATTTATGTTCCTTGGTGTTGTGTTATTCTTTGATGGTGGCTTATTGGCAATCGGAAATGTATGTTTTCATATTTTAATTTTAAATAATAACTTTTTTTGATAAACTTAATTAGTCATTCGTTAATTTATTTTCCCTTTATAAAATATATTATTAAAGATACTATTTTTATCAGGAATATTATTAATTATAGGATTTGATAAAACGATTGCTTTTTTTTCACGTAAAGATAAAATTCGTGGAACCATATGTTTCTTTGGTGGGATTGTATTGGTATTTGTTAAATGGCCTTTCCTAGGAATAATTATTGAACTTTTTGGGGTTTTCAATTTATTTGGGTAAATAGAAAAAAAAGACTATTCTTAATTGATACTTTGAATTAATTATACAAGATCATTAACTTTAATAATAATAACATCATTATTACAATTGATTCTTAGTGATTTTTTCCCAGTTATAGTAAGAGTTCTTAGAAGAATTCCTTTAATTGGAAATATACTTAGTGCACCAGGAATTGCACAGGTAAAATAAAATTCATAATGAATAGATAAATCAAACAATAATTAATTGACTGATTATTTATTTATTTTCTTTTGTCCTTAGTTTGTAGATAAATTAACAGGTGCTAAATTACCAGTATAAATCAAAAAATATATTATAATTACTAATTAATCTTCAATCAAACACACAATATTATTATTATTACTATTATTTATAATTAATATTTCCAACATTTGTATAATTAACCTTAATTTTATAATATTTAAAAAAAATTTAGACATTATTCTTTCTATAAACAATATATAATACATCAATCATCCTATAGATAAATAATATAATAATATATACATCAAAAAACATTTTATTTTATTATTATTTGTGAAAAACATAAATAAATATATTAAATGTAAAAATTAATAATATAAATTTTATTTTATTTATATTACAATTTCTCCTTCGATAACACTTGCATCCAATCCTAATCTCTCGAGACATTTATAATATCGTTCTAAATTTACCCTTTTTAAATACTTTAAAATCTTTTGTCTTTTATGTACTAAATGTCTTAATGAACGATAATTATCAAGATCTTTATGAAACTTCTTGAAGTGATCATGTAGATTTAAAATTCGAACAGTATATACCGCGGCTAAATATATTATATGTTTTAGTAAAAACATTAATCAATTATTATTTATTAAAGATTATTTCACATGTATTTATATATATGTAAATAAATCTTTGTAAAAACAAAAATACCTTGAACTTCTGGTGTTCCTGTATTTCTCTCATTTCCGCCAAATTCCTCTATTGCCTTTTGTATATTATACAACTGTATAGCCTTGGCATCTGAATTTTGTAAACTTACAAGTTTTTTTAACACTTGAACTTTTTCAATCTCAGTTTTTTCACGTACTTTGATCTCCAAAGATTTTCCATCTAAAGTCTCAGTACTGCTATTTTCATCATCAATTTTATTTGCAGAATCTAAAATCGTGGGCGGATTCTTAATGTCAGTTGTTGTTTCAGTTGCTGCAACAGCTTTAGGTGTAATCTCAAATAAAAATTTTTCATCTTTTTTATTGAGTAAAAAATTATTAAAACCAGAAGGAGTATTTAACGCCGTGGTAGTAGTTGACGACGCTGCTGATGCCACTTTGAAAATTTCATCGGGTTTAAGTAATGATCGGGTGAAGGGTGTGGGTCTTCCTACAATTGGGTCTGGTTTTTTTGATGATTCTTCTAATTTTCGTTGTTTTTCTGCCTTATGCTTTTTTGTTTTTTGTAGTGAACGAAGTCCTCCTTTCAAAGCTGGCGAGGTGGTATATATGCTACATCGATTAACTTTATTACATAATATCACATATATAGATCTTGATGGGTTAATATCTTTCTTTGTGTTTAATTTTTTTGAATTATAAAAAAGAGAGATTGATTAATGAATTTTTAGAAACAATACTTTTTCTATGTACCTATCAACGATGAAAAATTTGATAGTCTCGAACTGAACAATAGATTTCTTTGAAAAATCATTTTTTTAAAAATTTTTATGAATCTTTTTTTATATATCAAGGAAGATCTGCATGAATCATTTATAATACGTGAGAGAAGTGGTTCATTATTGGGGTTATTAATTTTTAAATTAAAATGAATTCCTTCTTCTGACAATGAATCACTCTGTCAATTAGAAATCGATCTCTGTCCCCTTGGAACAATTGAAAGATTGTTTGGAAGAAGATATATTTTGGAAGCATTGAAATTTTTGGCAAAGAGCTGTTCGATCAACAGGTTACGTAACGATATTCAAAAAAAAAAAAATACACGGTAACGTCTGAAAATGACCAAGTTTTTGCATGGAAAGTATTGTAAAATATAGCAAGTTTTAAATTGATCAAAAATTTTTGACTGGAAAAAAATTTTTAATTATTTTTTTTTTGAGTCTTCGGGCACAAAATTCTTGAGTTTTTTCGTCAGCATAAGTTGACTTAAAAATTTTCACAATTAGCAAGGTGGTTGCAACATATTTTGCGTTATTTGTAGTAAAGCATCCAGATGTTATTTGTGCAATGGCTAAACCCCAGCCCTTTGCATACAACAAATACAAATAGCTTTTGAATCATTCTTAAAAAATCTCGAAAATTATGATTTTTTTACTTGACATATTTATTTGTAAACAAGTAACAACAAAAAAAGAAAAGATATGAAATTTTTTAAATATAGATTTAAACTAAATAATATCTGTTAACACACACAACATTCAGTGTTGGAAATAGGAGTTGAAAATCCCCAAATTCTCCAGAAGATAAATTGGGTCTTTCCTTTCAAACAACAAGATCTTCGAGTTCTCTGATTTTCTCACAACAAAACATTTTTCACTATTTACAACATTCTTTATCCTTCGCCTTCAACCTTCATTTAGTCGGCGCTCACTATATAATATTCATTATAAAAATATCAGCGAAAATTTTTTGTAAAAATCATGTGATCTAATTTTATTTTGACTGGGCTTTGTAAAGAGCCATTTTTTTATTTACAGTTATTCGGTACCATCAAGTGCGCTTATAGATTCATCGAAGCTTTCTAGGTACAAGAAAGTGGCGGTAAGCAAGAGCAAAAGTAAATTCGTAAACTAATTATTGACAAGTGCTGAATTATTTGCCCAAAAGTTAACCTGTAATCGGCATTAACCCAAAAGGCTACCTAATATCATCATTTAACAAGAATAAAAAAGCTGTAAAAGGTTTATTATATTATAATAAAATAAAAAAGATAATTAATTAATTATTGAATATTTTGTTAGGCAGGACTTCGTCAGTATTTCTTCATTTTCTCACTATCTCATCCGCTCCTTCGTCAATTTTCACATTTATCTTTTCATCCATTATCCACCTCTATTTATTTCTTTGTTCACCACCTCTTCATTTTGTCATTATAACATTTCCATTTTTTCATTATCTCTTTATTTATTTTCTCATCCACTTCTTTATTTAATTCATTCCTTAGATGGAAATGTAACCATTATTGAAGAATGAGGTTTAGTCATAGTGCACAATGTGCAAAAAATGTCAGTATCAATGCGGAGAATGCGTGTGATAGATAAATGGAAACTTGACCATAAAGAATCTGCTAAATTAAGTAGATTTTTAGATGGCATTCAGTACACTTGCGGGAACTCTTTCAAAGGCTTAACCTCAGAAGTTCAACAAGATGAGTTCTCGGGATTATTTTTAAAAGTAAAAGTCAATGATAAATTAAATTCGCAAAAGTAGCATGGAAATTTAATATTATTCATGTAAATAAGATATGTTTTGTTTGTGGTGAACAATGTGAATTTTATTATTATTACTCTAGTCCAAATAGTCAAAAGGCAAAGAAATGTTAATATTATTTGATCACGTGAAAGAAAATTTCAAAAAAAAGTGACCCGGATGACCCAACAATCAATATAATAAAGATGGTACACTTCTTTTCTTAGAAAAAGTAGGATTTTATTTAATAATAATAATAAAGATAGTAAAATAAAAAAATTAAATATTTAACAAAAGAAAATAGAAATTAAATATTAATAATAATAATAATAATAACAATAATGTAAAAAGATATACACTGCTCGCTACTATTACTGTTGTTACAATTATTATTATTGCTATTAATAACTAACTGATCGATCAACTAAGGTTTGATATATATTACATTGTTGACCACCCTCCAACATCAAATATTTGTTCAATTTTTCTTGCAATTTGTACTGGAACACCGTGCGTTATCCATAATCTACGAATTTCGTCATACCTTTTTTGATTAAGATATTGAGGTTTGCCGCGTCTTAGAAAATATTATAAATAATAAATAAAATAATTAGCAATAGATATTATTGATTAAACGAATAGTTCTAACAATAATAATAATTACTTTAATCCATGATCAACTTCTCCGTGTGTGTCAAGATATGGTGCATTCATAAAACATCCATTATCGTTATGAAGTAATAATAATACACATTTTTTCACTAATAGATAAATCCCTTTATCGCCGCCACAACTAAATTGGAAATGAAACGTTTTGTGTTAATATTAATTATTAATCATTGATTAATGAATGAGTTATCAAATTTCATTTTACCTTCTAGCATGATTATTGCATTCACCTCTTTCTGATTCAAAACAACAATAACTCTGACTACAAACAAATGCACCACACAATAAACACAATGCAGGTTCATTTGGTATAGTATTACACTTTTTACACACTCTTCTCATGCTTTCTTCAAACAAAAAGTCTAGCCTTTTTGGTAAACCAATAAGCTCAAATATAGCTGGATGATTAAGTTGAATATCTATGAAATATGGGTCATTCGCTGATGTTTGTGAGCTACTGCGAATGGCCACGCTGCTTGATACAAGCAAGTTTGTTGTATTATTTCTATCTATTGGCGTTGTGACTGATTGTGTGAAGGGTAGTGATAACTCTTGTCGAAGCACAAACAAGTGATGACACCAACCTGCAATAACTGCTAATTTTGTAAAATCCGTTGTTGTATCGGTGTTTATCGCACAAATTTCTTCTAACATTGAAGGAAGTCTCAACAATTTACATAGCCTAACGAATTCTATCTCATCAGTTTTGAGTTTCTCTGTTTCAGAACTTGGAAACACAACACCAAACCTTGCGTGTAATAATATTATACATTTCCTCAAATATGGTAAACTAAATGATCTTATGATTTTTGCAAACATTTGATCGCCAATCTCATTTAAAAATTTTAATATAATTTGATCGTTATATCCCAATTGTCTCATAATCCAGAAAGTGAAACTTCTTATTGAGTTGTTATTGTTGCTATCATTATAACAACAATTATTATTAAAACCTTGTGTACCATTTGTTTTTTGTTTTTTATTTTGCTGCTGTTGTTGCTGCTGTTCTTCTTGTTGTTGTTGTACTTGTTGATGTTGTTGTTGGTTTTTTAAAAGCTCCTTTAGTCGTGGATCTTCCGTCCATGATTTTGTGTTTTCATTAAAAGTAGATTCAATTAATGAAATAATTGTTCTGGCAATTTCTGCTATGAATAATAAATGCATCAAATGATGTACATCATAATCCAGTGCTGTGACTGTGTACATACATAACTCAACAAGTATTAAGAAAGGATCTTCAAGTAATAAAGGTTTTACTTTTGTGAAAAGAAAACTTTTATCAAATAGTCCGTTGATCCTTCGTGTACTATCAGGTAATGGATTTGATATTATATCTTGTTCTGCTTTATTTGGCTGTAGAAGCGGATGTTCATAGAATATTTGTTGAAGACGATGTGTTGCTATCTGTTTCAATCTTACTTCGTACTCTTGGCCTGCTAACATTATATTTAAATATGAATCTAGTGTTTCAGAAAGAATTCTAAGCAGTGTTGATGTCTGTGAATTGATTCCATTCATTAATGTTGTGACTTGTTGATTTTCATTAACCGAGTTACCAACGCCTCTCTGGCTTATCTCAATACATGATATTGTGTATCCAAATAGATCCCACATGTACTCAATATGTTTTAAAGACTTCTCTGTAGTCTGAAAAGTTATTTCCAATTTATTACTACTGACTAACTTTTCCACAACTTCTGCCAAAAGATCATACATGCGAATTGTTATAATACGATCCTCATCTAATCCATCATTTCTTGATGCTGCTGCTGATGTTGATGACGATGATGCAGCAACTATATTTGGTTGGAATTCGTCACCAGGACCACCAATAATTGGACCACCAGTGTTATCATCTGTTGGTTGAGTCGGTGTTCTCAACATATGAACTATTTGTGAAATAAATCTACCAGCTCCACTACTATTACGTCGTCTTTGTGTTTGAGCCAAAGGTGAAAATCCAGTTGTCTGAGCCAAATCTCTAACATCAAAAGAGTTTCTTAAATTTTGTGTGTATCGCCTAGGTGGTTCATTAAAAACTGTTTGATCTAATGATTGTGCAAATGAATTTAATTTCGTCATTCCCGCCATACATTTACTATTTATCCATGTCCCAAAATCTTCTTGTACTTCCAGCACACCAGGAAATACTTCCTTTTTCCCTTTCCACGTTATTGGGAATAATACATTTCCTAGACTTTTGCATAAAGGACACAAGAACTCTTTACGTTTCACATCTTCTGGATGATTTCTGGTCAATTGTAATTGATGCCTTTGTTCTAAAGATAAGAAATAATTATCAAAACATTTTACATGCATTAAATGTCCACATGTTGACGCATACATTCCTAGCCTACATGAATCTGAAGGAAATCCTTTACTTAACAATACACGTGATGATTTTGATGAATTGTCATCAGCCGAATATAGAGACGAAGCAACACCATAAGGCATACTTCTATCATATTTGTTATCTAAATTCTCTGGTAAATTAATGGTTTCAAAAACAAAATCATTGTCATTAAATGGAGTTCTTCGCATCAAAGTAGACGGTTGAATCAATCCCAGCATTCCATATAATGATGATGAATTGGTATCCTCTTGACACACTATACAAGTTCCTGTTGGGAATGGCCAAATTGTTTCTTTTGACAAGTCACCCTCCAAATGTTCATCAGTAGTTATTTCCCATTCATCATCATACATGCCCTCATCAATATCGTAAAAACTTTCATGCTTATCTATAAAGCTTTGTTGTGCTTTAGCAAATTGTTCCATTATCTTTTTTTGCCTTTCCTTGGCTGCTTTTTTTTTCTTTTCTTGTTCGGTAAGTTCGGTATCCTCACTACCTTTAGTTTGTAGTTTGTCATTCAATTTTTCACGATGATTACTGATCACAAATCTCACATTTTCATTACTATGTTTTTCAAATTGGTCCAAAATATAATTTATTTTATGATGGTAGTCTTTGAAATTTGAATTTGAGGATAAGTCTAATAACAAATCTAATAGAGTATTAGTAGAAACTGGCGACTTCATTATATTAACATCAGGATCTTGGAAACGATCAGATACTGCATAATACATAAATCCTGTAGGATAATAAGTATCATTTGTTGATAAAATATTATCTGATGCCTTTTGTTTTCCTTTTCGTTTATATTCCTTTATTGCATCATTATTTTCATCTAATAAGGCCAAGATGATCAAATGTAGAGCTTCTTCCATAATTGTGTCAGATTTGATTTTGTTATCCTTTTTGACATTCCATAAAGAATAGTAAATAATTTGATTCATCAATCTCACATGTAATATGTTTCCTAATTTTACATAAGGTCCCTTGGTTATAGGTACAAGCTTTGGAATTATCAATGGAGTTTTGTCCTTTTCAGAATCATCCATTTTTTTCTTTGACCTATTTTTCAAAACATCTTCAGCCTCTTCTCTATTGTTACGCGAGTAATGCATAAAGTAAGGATCTACATCATCAAAATACTGGTCTTTTAATTCATATAATCCATTATCTGTTAGACTATCCGGTGATCGATAATTGGCAAGATCTGGTAAGACTTTGTCAAATGATGTACTTTGTGTAAGGCGTTCTGGTATACGTTTAGAAAGTTCGGAATAAGCCAATGGTCCAAGGCATAAACTGTGTATTATTTCACTTTTGATTTCCTCTTCGATGCTCAAACCAGCAGCATTTGTTCGTTCATTTACACATGTGATGAGTAGTATTAAAAGTTCTTCTACAATAAAAGTTAACTGTGTAGAATCATATGTTTTGTGAGAGCTTTTTCCATTGAACCAATCAATAAGGTCAAATCGATCTAAAATTGTGGCAAGAACAAGGTCAGGATCCAAAATTATAAATGCAGTCTGAATTAAGAAAACGTCTTCATCATATGTATTTTCTCGAAGAGAGACATCCCGATAATGATGACACTTTTAATTTAAAAAAAAAAAAGATTAAATATTAAAGATACTTTGTTTGGTATTATAATAATAAAATTTAGATTTATTATATAATATACTATACCTGACTACGAATACCAAAACCATTTCGAACCCATAGACCTGCTCTTATTTGCACTAACAATACCAATACTAGAAATAGTAATAGTAATAGTAATAGTTAATATATTTTCCATTTACACACAAAAAGGTCCATTAAAAATATTACCTCTTAAAGGATAATCTAGTATTGCCAACATTTTTTCACGAGCTCGTATCACTATAGACGAATCATCTGCATTTTCAGAATTAATGTCCATCACCATATTTTGAAAGCTATCCCAACCATTTTGTTTCAACAAATCTTCATCCAGCAATTCAACATTTTCAATTAACTGAGCAAGAAACCAATGCAATGGATGATGAAAACTGACAGGCTGTGACGAGACATCAAACTTTATAACTCTGTAAGTGGGCGAATATGGATTCTGTGGAAACATTACATCATGAAAATCTGAATCGCGCAACATAATCGAATTGTCTTCTGAATCCTCTATTCTGGTATAATATGAATATTTCATATCTCTTGAAAAGGGGGCATATGATTCGTTAGTATTGAAATTTGTATCTGTCACCTGTTGTTCGTCATTTGTTTCATCCATATTATCCATGTCATCTTCTACATGTCTTGCACACCACTCGTATAATTTTTTTAAAGTTTTACGTATTGTTATAGACAAGACCTTTGTATTCACTGTATAACATTCAGAAAACTGGCGACAACTTTTTGCTATTTGTAACGTAACATTGAAAGCATTCACCCAACTTTCAGTCTCATATTCAACATGTTGTTGGGTAGCACGTACGTTGGGATTCATTCCTTGAAACAGAGTGATCAAGTTAAGATATTGAACTAAATATTGTGAATGTCTATGAACTGACTCTTTTACAGCTGTGGTGCTCATTATATTTTTGAAATCACTAAATATATGAAAATAACATCTATTTTTAAAACTAGGAGCTTCACAATTAATTCTGGCAGATGGATCAATATCTTTTACATCTCCAACAGCATCTGATGTGAAAAAAGTGTGAAACACTGCAAATATTGTACTAAGAAAATGATATTTGTTAACAAGTATTGATGATATTGTTGCGATAGGAAAAAGTTGTATTGAAAAAAGTATAATTGAATATTCAGGCTCACGATCAGGAGTAAGAAAGGCTTTGGCAATTTTCACGTAATTTCTAGCAAATCGTATACCTATTAATAATAAAATGGATTTGTAGAATTTTTAGAATTTTATAATGTATGATTAGTTTTTTTTTTTTGTTATAAAAAAAATTACCCATTATTTTCTTATATTCAGGGTCAGTAGCTAAAGTTTTGATATACAATTTTTTTAGACCAGATCGAGCTTCTTTCCAAAGTCTAAAGTCCAAAAGAAATAATTTATCAAGCCTTAATTTCTTATTAAAGTCTTCGGCTAGTTGATTTGTAGTTGATGCCTTGTATAATGAAGTGGGCGACTCATCTTCTTCCATTGGTTCTGTAGTAGTATCGATTGATCTTTCATCCGTTGACATTTCATCAATCGAACCAGTTTCAACAATACGGTCATCTTGATCATCGTCATCGTCGTCATCATCTTCATCGTCGTCGTCATCGTCGTCGTCATCATAACATTCCATTGCCTCGTCACCATCGCTCATTTGATTAGAATCAACATCCTCATTTTCATATCTTTCATCCTGAGATAAAAAAATTTTATTGAAAAGTCTAATTTTTTCATTGAGCTTAAAAATTGAATTTTTTTTTACAAGTGGTTTCTTCCATTTTTTACATAGTTCTTCACAGATTATCTCTCTTAGCACATGAATGTTTGATCCAACCATGCCATTAGCAAGATCTTTCAACCAATCAATAAATAGGCCGCACATTTCTTCACGAAAGGTATCTCTGGCTGAACGAATTGTAACAGCTAAACCTATGGAAGAGATGGTACGAGCAATGCTAAGAAGGCGTGGAATATCATCAGATATTTCTACTATGTCACGGCCCTGAAAACATTTTTATAAAATTTTATATAAGACATTTTCAAAAAAAAAAAAAGAAGAAGCATATGTATGTGTGTGTATAATATACATTTATTTATTTATAAAAAAATTGTTTTTCTTAATTAACATAAAGTTGGTTAAATAAATTTCATTTAATGATAATAAAATCGAAGTAGAAAATATAAAAATAAATTTTCGACGTACATATGAATCGACTCTTTCAGCAATTGATTTTGCTGCATCCTTCGTGCAACCAGTAGCATCAGCAAGTTGATCAATGACTTCACTGAAAGAATGACTTTCATCATTCCAAAGTATTATGGCAAACAATTTTTCATCTGGAGTAGTGGTAAGATATCGAATAGAGTAGCTCGATTCGATTGCCTCTTTTTTAACTTGATCTACTTCACTAGGAGGCAATTTTTCTTCGGGAGAAGCAGATAAAGTATCAATCATAAAGACAAGCACAGTGGATATTGCTTCATGAATTGAATTTAATAGATCAGTTGGTAAATTTCGACTGTTAATTGAATCCAAAGTATTTGTAATCTCGGGTGAATGATAAGCACAATGAATAGGAACTTTCCAAGCCTCTGGATCACCACAATCACAGCATCCACTCCAACTAGTAGTTATAGAAAAAATAACGTCGTGATCTTCGTGATCTGTTGCGTGAAAACAACGAGTGCAGAAAACACATGTTCCGTCAATTGCGCAATCTCTATGCAATGCAATAATAAGATGTACAATAACCTTGACATGTTAGCTATCTTGTAAACAATATTAATAATACTAAGATTAATTATAAATATCTATCTTAAATCTAATTTAATTTGACTATAATAAAATCTATATATTTGTACGCTTTTAATCACAAATTAAAACTAATTCATACCTGCATCTATAAACACCTTCACCTTTTTTGAATACATGACCACAAGGTCTTCCTTTTTCGAGGGAATGATTATTTACATTAGAACTTTGAGCCAGACTAAGCTTATATTCATAATTGCCATCACCAAAACCATTTGGAAAAAATAAATCTCTGTAATCTTCATTTGATTTCCAAAATTCAGAAAACAATCTCCCTAGTATTTTCTGTTTAGCATCCTCTGACAGTTTATAATCAAAATTTGCAGGACAAAGCTGTAAGAATTTGGAAAGTGGTATGGTTTTAAGATCATTTGAATTTGTTGTTGTATAAAGATTTGAAGTAGATGCCTCTGGTTCCATTATTGAAAATGGATATATATATATATATATAAAACAAAATTATGAACAATTAATAATATTAGTATTAGTGGGAATTCGAAATCGCAAATGTTTAAAGAGAGTTAAGAAATTGTTTTTATTTTTTCGTGTCTTTTTTGTTAAAGTTTTTTTTTTTATTTTATAAAAAAAATTATCAGCAGTTAATTTTCAACGATTTTTTAATTTTTAAAATTATGTAACCTCAACACTTTGTCGTACAACAAAAGCATGACGTAAAAGAATCATCTCGTTATTTTTAATCTTCAAAAAAATTTTCCTTCGTCAAATCTTTTTTTTTAAAAAAATAAAAAATAATGTCACATCATCCTTCTTACACAATGGGAGCTATATGTAAGTAAGATCAATCAATTAATAATTAATAATTAATAATTAATAATCAATAATAACTCATCATGAAAAGTAATAAAATGATTATTATTGGATAGGTGCAATCGGAGGGATTGCAGCTTATGCTAAAAAAGGATCAGTTCCTTCATTAACAGCAGGACTAGGAGTATCTTCACTTTATTTAATAGCTGGGTAAAATTATTTGAAAAATTTAATAATTAATCAAAAGATTTTATTTATTAAAAATTTATTTTTAAAAAAGTTATTTAATTGAAAATAATAAAGATTATGGACATGAAACTGCTCTCGGTAATTAATTAATTAATTATATTAGAAATTTATCATTATGAATATTATATTAATATATTATTTATCACATGATCATATATTAATATTATTATAAGCTGCATCGACTGTTTTGACAGGATCAATGATTCCAAGAGCAATCAAGACAAAGAAACCAATCCCATTAACATTAAGTATTTTATCAATTGGTGCCGGCACATATTATATTAAAAAGATTTATGAATATAAAGTTGGATTTTAAAACGGCATTCAAAAATCATTACCTTTTATTTTTAATAAAATAAAATATTTTATAAATGAGTTACCTTTAAATATGTTCATTGTCATCCATTATAGAATAATTATCATTAGAATGCATCCAACCTTGAAAATTTTTATATAAAAGAAAGGTTTCTCTCCCATATATTAATATTAACATGTATGGGTAATCCATTATAGATCCGGGGATCACGATCATCTATATAATAACATTCGACTTATCGTGTAACATTATTTAAAAAAAAATTTAACGATAGATTTTTTATTGCCATCAGTCCAGCCCACTACCAGCCCACTTATAAAGAGTCAATAACCCAAAAAACTTATTTGCTTTGTGAATCACAAAAAAAAAAAAAAATGCCCGGACGCATACTTTTCAGATATACCGTTGAAGAAGTGGCAAGACACAATGACATTTCTGACCTTTGGGTAATCCACAATAAAAAAGTATATGATCTGACAGACTTTGTAACCGATCATCCTGGAGGTCCTGAGCTACTTAAAGACTGGGCAGGAAAAGATGTTTCAAACATCTTGTCAGATCCTTCTTCACATTTGCATTCTGAAATAGCTTATGAAGTATTATTAGAGTCATGTATAGGAGAAGTGGTCCAAACTGGTAATAAAAAACAACTATATAATTGTAAACGCTAATAATAATTTTTGTTTCTGTTGTTGTTTTTGAAACTAATATTACAATTATTATTTTTTTATTTGATCAAAATAAATAGCAGATGAATTTGAAGTAAAAAATACAAACATAGTTAATGATTATCAAAAAGAAAAATTTTTGGATTTAACAAAACCATTATTTTTACAAATGTTTAATTGTAATTTCACCAAAGAATTTTATCTCAAGCAAATTCATCAACCACGCCATCTTCCATATTCAGCAAAGTTATTCGGAAATGATTATTTAGAATTATTGACCAAAACGCCTTGGTACATTGTTCCAATTTTATGGATTCCAATATCAGTTTATCATGGATACATGGCATCCGAGGCTTTAAATCCATTACTAGTTTTTATGTTATTTTTATGCGGTATTGTAGTTTGGACTTTACTAGAATACACTTTGCATAGATTTTTGTTTCATGTTGACAATTTTTTACCTGATCATCCTTATGCACTTACAATACATTTCACCTTGCATGGAATACACCATTATTTACCTATGGACAAGTCAGTATTTTATTTTTTATTTTATAATTATTATTTTATTATATGAAGTTGGTTGAATATTTCTAACGTATAAATTATATAATAAATAAATAAATATAATTAAACAGACTAAGACTTGTCATGCCACCGGTTCTTGGGGGTGCAATTGCATATCCAATTATAACATTAGGAAAAATGATATTTCCTGAAAATATAGCACATGGTATAATTGCTGGCGCAGTATTTGGTTATGTTTGTTATGATTTGACACACTACCATCTTCATCATGCTAAACCTTTTGGTGACCATTTCAAAACAATGAAAACTTACCATTTGGCTCATCATTATAAAAATTATGAATTAGGTTATGGAATTACGAGTAAGGTGTGGGATATAGCGTTTAGTACAGAATTAAAATAGATATTATTTTGCCAACAGAGATATGTTATTTAGTTGACTACATATTTTTTATTAAATTTTATCATTATAATTTTATTGTTATTATCATTATGATTTTATTTTTTTATTTATTTAATAATAATAATAATTTAGATCAATTACTTAATTGAACAATTAATTTCTTTGTCAACTAATAATTGGTTTGGTATTAATAAGGATAATATGGATTATTGATATATTATTTAGTTATATTAGGAATCATCTTTGTTTAATTATTCTAATAGATTTAAAATATAATAATAATAAATATAATATTTGCATCATAAAATATCAAATCCTCCTGCTCTACCCAAACTAATCAGTGACCGTGAACCAAATAGATAAGTTACTGCCGCATCTGATTCAATTCTAAATCAATGTTTGTTACAAACCAACATTTTTAAAGATTTGGATATCTGAAACCAATTTTGATACCCAAAATCAATATATAAATAATTTACATATATTAAGAATTTGACAATTGGGATCAGATTGGAAATTTCATTTATCGATATGGTAATGAACAAGGATTTTGATAAAACGATAATCGCAAAAAAAAAAAAAGAACATTTGCCTGCAGATGTAGCTGCACTTATGAGCCAAAAAAAGATACTGATGCTAATAATACCTGTAACTAAAACTGTTTACAAGCATTTGTGACGAACATAACCATGATTTGGCATTGAACCACGCCACAATTAATACCTCAATTAAGAAATTAGCTTCAGAAATGTTAAATGAAATAAGGTCTCTATCGTTTGATAGTTTTACACCCACAAATAATATTATTACAATAAACAACACTAACGCTCAGAAAATTGTAGAGGACGCAATGGTACAGGAAATGACTAAGAAATTGTACAAAACAATATTTTAATTGCTACGTTTTAATGTAATTCACCGGCGTATTCGATATAAGTTGATTCAGTCTAACCTTGTCATAACGAATGTATGGAACTGACCATTTAAATTCGTTGTAACAAAAGTTCGTTGATAAAACTTTATCAGAATGCCCGGAATTCATAATAGGATTTCGCTGACACTGTTGCAAAAGATTACAATGATGCTATGAATAATTACAACATTGTTACAAAAGATTACAATAATAATTACAACATGGTGCAAAGGATTACAACAATTTTCGTAAAAGATTTCAACAATGCTGCTGTGAATAATTACAATGTTACAACCATCATTGTCAACAATTACAACATTACTAAAAAGGTTACAACAATCATTGTAAAAGATTTCAACAATACATCTAAACTCGACAAGTCGGACGCAGCAATCAATTGTTTAAAGTACTTTATAATATAAATAAATGTCCGACTTATCGAGTTTAGATGTGTATTGTGAATAATTACAATGCTACTGCAAAGAATATCTTTACTATTCAACAAAAAACCAGAGGGAGTAAGAACTTAGCAGCTGATTGTAGAAATAAAGAAATAACCAAGTTTCTTTATAAATGTAAAATAGATGTATTGATATTGAATGGATTCCCTTTAATGAATTCAAAAATATTGAATATTTAGCTAAAGATGGCTTTAGTGAAATTTATAAAGCAATTTGGAGTTGGGAAGGAAATGTAGTATTAAAAAAAGTATATAACTCAAGTGATAAAATTATGGATATTTTAAAAGAGGTAACATTGATTATTGTTATATAATATTATATAATAAATAATTTAATTATATTTATAATTTATTTAGAAGCAAATAGTAAAATGGATTTTCTTGTCAACAAATGCTTTGACATTACAAAAGATCTAAGCATAAATTAATATATGTTGGTATTTAAATATGCTAAAAATGGAGGTTTACTTAATAATTTAATCCAAATGAGATCTTTGGAGTCATTCCATATCTGGCACCTAAAGTATTATCATGTAAACAATATACAAAAGAACCAGACATTTATAATTTTGGGATGATTATGTGGGAATTGACCACAGGTAAAAAAACCTTTTCATAATCTGCCACATGACCATTACCTAATAATGGATATTCAGGGAAGAATGAGACCTAAAATCACCAAAGACACCCCTGAATTCTATGCTGAAAATGTTGGGATTCAAATACATAAAGTGGACCAACTGCATGGAAAATTCATTGTTGTTTCCATAATATTATCATTACCAACTTGAAAAGATTATTAACTTGGCAGAATTAAAATGTCAAGAGATAAATACCATTTGGATGCATTCTATACAAGCCACCTACTTAGTAAATTAATTGAACAGGCTAAATTACAAAAGAAACTGGGTCAACAATCTACTATATCAATAGATGATGAGGATGAATCATCAATAAAAAAATTCAACCAAATAGTTTAATTGAATATATGTTGACAGTAATGCTTCAGTGTTTATGCCAATGCATATGAAATAAAAAATGATGGCAGTAATGGTGACAATATTGTAGTGGTGGCAATGTTATTAGTAGTGACGATAGTGGTGTTGAAGGTTATGGTGGTGGCAATAAAAAGAAGCAACCAAAATATTTTAAAAATTGTTTTTATAATTTATTTCTTTTTTTTTCTTGCATTCATTAACAAATAAATAAATAGTATTTAATTATTTTACATATCATATCAAACTACACATTCATTCTTCAATAGGTAATTTTAGTTACAATTAATCGCCATGCATCAGTATTACTATCAATCCTGATTAAATTATTTACCTAGACTACAACATCGATGTGGACATAATAAGATTTGATTATAGATTTTATCATTGAAAAAAAATAGTTTCAATCAAGTATAAGAGTATGAATAACACGGTCGGGCGTGATTATTATTACAAAACTTATAGTAAAATTTACTGATAAACATATTAATAATTGCTTGCAGTTGTGAGTTTATGTTCATCAAACAATTAATCAAACTCAAGCCTAAATTATCAAATGCTATCAAACTCGAATCAAGTAAACACATCATATAGAACCTCTGATATAACAAAACTTGACATAGTAAGGAAAGAACATCTTTAAACCAAAAAAATATTGTGCCCAGAATGTGTAATAGAATTTTTATTCTTTATGATGATGTAATAACCATAAATCAAGCTGGAACATTTACATAATGTTATATTATATGAACAATTAAAAGGCATGAAAAAAAAACATTAATAACTGTGATCTTAAACAACTTGATAAATTTCAACCACTAAAAAGAAAAAAATCCATGTTCACACCATATCATGATTTTTTGTTACGGTGAATTTTTTTAAAATAATATTATACATGGATTACGCAGCGTTTATGATTTCTGATCACGCCATGCAATATTTCTTATCCAGTTTTTTATATCAAAATGATCACAATATAGGTTCGTGCGCGCTTGCATTGTGATGGTGATTGCGATTGTGATGGTGATTGCGATTGTGATGGTGATTGCGATTGTGACGGTGATTGTGGTGATGATGGTTATTGTGATAGCAATTGTGATGGTGATGATGATGATAACGATTTAAAGCTAGGGTCAGGCAGGATCAGGGTCAGGTTATTTGTAAAATGTGTGCGTGAATATGCAAAAGATGTGTATGTACGTGTAGACTATTAATTAATTACAAATTGATTTATTGATTAGAATAATAAAAATGCGTGAAACAATCACAACAAAGTTTTCCGCTCTTTCCTTTGCTTTGAAATTTTAATTAAATCAAAAAAACATGCATTCATAGTTTACGCCCAAATAACCAATTCATCGATTAATTGATTAATTGATGAGAAAGGAAAGAAATAATGAAAGAAAAGGAAAGATCCTAAAGAATCAATCAATATAAATTGGTTGGTTTATCGGTAAATAACGCGCGATAAATAAACGCGCTGTTGATCATCGTTATTACAATTTGTTGTATTAGGTTAACTGTAATTCGTTTGTCATTCATTATCGACATATTTTGTCTTTCATAATTTCTAGTTTTCTTTGTTATGTGTTTGCTATTGCAATTAAATGTAATGAATAGAAAGTTTGATCTAAAAATAATAAACAGATAAATTGAACAGATAAAGAAAACAAGAGAAAAGCGAGATGGAAATATATAAAATTAAGCGATAGCCTACGTAGTCATGATCTAAATTAATTAATTACTCAGTGATAACGATGTAAGCAATTATTTAAGTGCCATTATTATAAATAACCTGTTTGTTGTTTTGTTTACTTTTATTTTGTTTATTATTTATAATTAAAAAAATCTCATTTCATTTATCAATTTGGTTAAATCCCATTCCATTACAAGATTACTAGTTTTCGTTAATTAATACACTTCCCCTGCAATTTAATAATTTAAAATTTAAATGCCCTAAAAAGTAAGTCAAATTAATAATAATAATAATAATAATAATAGTAATCGTAATAATAATAATAATAATTTTAGGAATGAAGTGTGCATTACCCCATGACGATCAAAAAAAATTTTTGTCATTGAAGCCGATCCATTTTTATTTTTGGCGCGAAAAAAAAAATTTATTACTTACTATTACTATACCATTTACTTAATTTAATCAACACGGTTATTATAATATGAAACATACTGCAACAGAACCAGACAAAGTAAACATTTGTATATCAAGGTTTAAAATTTTGTATAATAGTGATAACATTTTTAGAATTTTTTATTATTCAATAATTAAATCAATTACTGATGAAGAGGGTCGGATACATTATCTTTCCCATTATTTCCATTATTTCCATTATTTCCATTATTTAATTCGTAACACACAATTTAGGATGATTATTCCTTAAATGGGTTTCTCGGCTATTGATATATATATATATAGCCGAAAAATTTTTTTTTCCTATATTAATATATAAAACTTTCTCATTACTTCCTAATATAAAATGACCCTTGAGATTCTACCAATTGATTTATAAATAGAAATTTGGTCATTGTTTTTGTAAATCTTTAATAGTTGGTCGAGTGACTATTCTTACTTTGCTGATCATCAAATTGACCAATAAGAATGCAAGATCGTTACCATTAAATAATACTTCTGACTGTTTAAAGGATAATTAGTTTAATAAAGAAAAAATAGAAAATCATTGCTGAAATAGCATCACACGCCAACTGATGAAGAAATAGGAACAGATAAAAATTAAATAATTGAGAAATAGGAAAGTAGCACAATAATCAAATTATTGAAGACTGAAAAGAACAAGCTGATAATGCTGAGAGAGATAATGAAACACACTAGCTATAAAGAATGGAGAGAAAGACAATCGGTAGAGGAATTAGAGCAATTAGAGATAACAAGAATCAAAAAATAAATTAACAAGCCAAGAAATTCCGCAACTAAAACAAAAATTTTATATAACCAATAAAAAGAAAAAACTACAAAGAATTACAAAAAACGATAAGCGATAAAATTCACCTAATACTAAAGAGAATAATTGAAGGAATCCAAACCAACCCTCTTTTGTCAAATTTTTAAAAGATAGTATAAATATGCTCACCTATACTGATAATTAAATCTAAGTTAAGTAGTAAATTATTTTTCTTTTCTTTCTAGGTTCTTTATTGTCATCAAACATATTAATATTTATTATGTGCGGATTTTTTAGTATCTTTATATTCATGTTGACGAGAATATATTTTTTTGAAAGCATGAATTATAAAAAGGAGTTTCTATCAATTTTTCAGTTATATATTTACAATGGAAATTTTTTATGGTAAAGTTTAATAATAAATCAAATAACTTTAAACCGTGATAACTTTTTTTTTTTCATAATAAAATTGAACTAAACTTTTTATTTTAAGTCTTCCATATATAATAAAGTTACAGAGAGCCTTTTGCTCTAGCCCATTTGGTTACAAAGTATATCTATTAACGATTTTTTTCAATGTCTTTTCTATAAATAAAAAAAATTTTTATTTACAAAAACGCTCTGTAATCTAAAAACTCCTTTAGTTTCATGTTCGTATCTCCTTTATCTTGAAGGCTCTGATATAATTTTATGATCGGCATTATGTTACCTAATTTGATTTAAATAGGGCAATTCTTTATGGTTCTCTTTTATTGATTACAATTTTTCCTTCTTGGTAAATTTCACAGGTAAACACTTTCTTTCCTTAGATGTTTATTTGAAGATATAAGGAGCGATATTTTTCCTTTGTTCATTCTTCAAAATACTTCTGATAATGCTGTAATACTTGGGTTACATAGTGGATCTGATGCATATTAATTATTTTTATATAGTTCTATATATCATTTAAGAAAAAGGGAAGATAACAAATAAAATTGTTAAATTGTAATCATATTACAATTGTGATGTTAGAATATTTTATTCCCTTAGATCTTTGCGCAATAGTAATATAATTGTCTGGTTTTGTATGCCCATATCCTAAATTAGTTAGGCTTTTTTGAAAATCACAATTTATTTTGAGCTAGTAAAAATTGTGAGAATTGTATCTGTTTGCTCTGAAATATTTATTTGGAAATAAAAGTTAACCAATGGCATTCAAAGTTACCTCCATCCTCGTTCTCTCTTCCTTTCACTCTCTTTCCGTATTAACATATCAATCAACAACCACTTATATGTGTGTGAAAATACATTATTATTGTATATTATTAATATGGTAATAAATGTTAAAATATTATATCGGAAAATTTTTAATTAATTGACAAATTAGAAAATTAAAAGTGCAGATGTATGCAATATGCGAGTAATATGCGAGTGTGATGTGTGTGTTGGCGGTAATGTGTAAAATAAGCGTATTATAGGGTGAATGATCAAAAAGTTTATCTCGAGAGGACATGATTATAATAATGATGATGATGATATGATGATGATGATATGATGATGATGATGATGGTGGTGATGATGATGATGATGATAGCAATAGTAATAGTAATTATAATAACAATAGATTTACTCTAAATTCTAATTTTATTCTTTGAATCTAATTTCCAAATTTAATGATCTTCTGATCTCTAACACTAAGCCAATTCGTTACGATTATTCTATAATTGAGGATATTATTAGGAATTATTTATTTATTATTGTCAAATGATTTCACCAAAATTTCATTTATTTATAAACTCTAAAAAATTTTAAAATAGAAATGGTAATTATAATATAGAAAGTAAATAATTTAATTGTAATACAAAAAAAAATTAAAATTGAATGCAGTTAATTAAATATATTAGATGTATCTTGGTTTTTGATTAATGTAATGCCTTGGTATATTAGTCAAAATATATAATAATAATAAATGACAATAGCCGTATACATAACAATAAGAAAAAATTTTATTTGCAAAGTTTTTTTTTCTGTTTATTATTACTGCATTATAATAAAATAAATTTATTAATACTAACCAATAACGATAAAAATACCAGAAAATATTTCTTTCTGAAAAATTTATTATTCCAATAATAGCAATAATAAAATTCCTCTTTATTCCTACTCATTTTAATCATTTTATTATTTATTTACCTTGATAAATATTCCTTTCTTTTTTTTCCTCTATATTATATATAAATTTTGAGACTTCTTATTTCTCTTTCCTCCTCAATCACTCAACTTTATTATAATTAATAATAAAAAATTAATTAAAATAAAATAAAATTAAAAAATGGAATTCAGTAATAATCTTATTAACGACCCTTCAAATGATATGGTACATATTTAGTTTTTTTTATTACTCAATTTGATCTTATTTCGTTTTATATTATATATATACATATATATATGTCTATGCTCATATGTATATACTTTATTTATTTATCAAATGACAGGTCTTAGAGCCATTTGACTTAATTTCAAAGTTAGCAGAGCAAATTAAAAAAAATTCAGCGGTAACTTATTTATATAATAAAGATCATATCATTATTAATTAATTAATGTTAATTAATAATTCATATCATTAATAGTCTAAAGACGAACAAATCAAAAAGTTGAACGAGCAAGTTAAAGCATTAAATGAAAGAATTGATGCATTACAAGAAGAAAATACTAAATTAATATTGGTAAATTTTCAATCATCACATCATCACGTCACATAGTCATTATTATTTATAAACTATATTTATATATAAATGCTAAATTAAAAAATCCCATATAGTATAACAATACTGATGAGAAGACGTCGGATCTTATAGATGAAAATAAATTAAAATTGCTTGTCACAATATCAAAATCCATTGATGAACATTTATCAGAGGTGAGATGATGATTATTATTTGAAAAGATGTATCATGCACGAAGATATATATATATTTGAATATTGATTAATCAATTAATCAAATTAACTATTGCCAATTTGTTCTCTATATTATTTTTTTTAGAGTCATACTCGTCTTACTTGGCCCCCTTCCACACCAAACACAAATAACAGCAACATTGTTCTATCGTCATCAGAGGGTAAATATTTTGAAAAAATTAATTTTTTATGAGGGGAAAGCAAAATTCCAATCAATAATTAATTACATATTCCATATTGATAATTTCCAAAAAAAAAAAGACGAAGATACTTTAGTAACGAGCAATAACACTACTTTAAAACCTTATCCCCACCAACCTCAACTCATAACCTTAAACTCTGAAAATAACGGTGCCCCATCATTCGGTGTAAGTGTATTATTATGTTATATATAATATTCGATATTTATAATATACCCGCTCACACATATATTCATTTATTTTAGACTGATACAACAGGTCATGAAACTACAGCTATTACAACAAATAAACCGGGTCATCAAAATCCTTTTCATTTTATCACAAGTAATATGAATGCCAACAATACGAACAGGCTTAATAATCAAAAAAGATTTATCAATAACAATAATAATAACGCTCTTAATAATAATAACAACAACAATCTTAATAATCTTAATATCAGACAACAAAATAATGGCAACAATAATAATCAAAATAATCAAAATAATCAAAATAATATGAATTTCAGTAACCGTCAAAAGGTAAATTTTTGCCATTATTATTATCATAAAATAAATATAATATCATTATTAATATATACATAATACGCATTTTGTTTTTTTATTAAATAGAATAATAACAACAACTACAACAATAATAACAATAATAGTAATCAATATACTCTCTTTGTATCTTGGCCAGGAGTAATCTCAGGAGAGGAAGAAATTTATAGTTTATTTAATAGTGACGATGTATGTCTATTATTATTGTTGTTGTTGTTATAAATATTATTATATTATTAAAATTTTTTGAAATAATGGACAACATTTCATAAACATAAAACCAACTGATGCTTTAAATTCTCCATCATATATAGATTGCTGATATTAGATATGTGCAAGGAAAACAATTTGCTCATGTTGATCTTAAGTCTCAAGAAGCGTTAGATGAAGCTATGAAATTGAATTCAGTGGTAATCATCATTATAATAATTAACTATTTATTAATGTTTGATTTTTGTTGTTGTAGTAAAATTTTGATCGTAATTATTGTTTATTTTTATTTATTTCCTTTCATCATTAAAACCTTTTAAAGATTAAACATCCAACACAAGGTCAATTACGTGTAGAATTAGGCAAACCACGCAACAACAACAACAACAACAACAACAATAATAACAACAACAACAACAACCCTCCAACTAATCAATTAAATAATAATAATAAGATTAACAACAATCATATTAACAATAACATTAATAATCTAGGTAAATTATATTTTTATTTTTTATCGAAACAATATTTGCATGTCCATTAAATATCACTAATAATATTAATGATTGTATTTTCATAGTTGGCCAAAGACCACCTCAGCAACAACTACACTATAATAATAACAACAACAATAATGGTAATAAACCTTTCCTTAATAACCGTCAAAATAACAATAATAATAACAATAGAAACAATACTACAAATGGTATTCAAACACAACAAAAACATAAATACAATAATAATAATAATACTGGCGGGACTATTTATCGTAATAGTAACAACAACAACAACAACAACAACAACAACAACAACAACATTGGTTACAGTTATTATAATAACATTAACACCGCTAATAATCATCAATTAAACGGCAACATATTAAACGGTCTTAACAACAATAATAATAATCGGCAGCAGCCATATTTTAAAAATCCTACCACTGACATCAACAGTATGAACAACAACCATACATTATCATCAATACCCATGCAACCAAGTACTTCTGTAAATTCGCACGTCTCAAAATCTAATTGATGGAAGTGATTGATAGACGGTTTGATATCGATCATAATGCGGTGATGGCTAGAAAATTATTATTGTTAATTTGTTTTAATTATTAGAGGATGAAACATATAAAAAAAAGAATAATCATTAATATTTTATAATTAGCAAGTAAACGGGCTATTTTCCATTATTATTTCATTATTTATTTTTCAATCATTCTAGATTTTTGTATTTTATTTTCATATATTTTTATTTTTGCAGATCATCATCATATACACAAAAATATCATACCATTTTATTATATTTAACTATCATTACCATTATATCTATTATATATTGTTAAAAAAAAATTAATCAAATAAATAAATTAAACAAGAGATAGATGTGTTGATCCCATTACTTGACCAATATTAAACCTCTCACATTGGGTGGACATATTGCCAAAAAGATCGAATTGTGTACAGTGCAAGTCGCCTAAAACCTACAACTTTATGTACCACGGCGCCAATTTTGAAACTATTCCTATTCTGACGTGATCTAAATACCATTACTATTACTTGTTGTTATAAAAAGAACCACAATTCCCACAATTCCCAACTTCAATTCAATCAATTTTTGACGCCTGGCTCTTATACTTCTGTTAAAATGGGAAATGATATGATTTTTAATCGTCAAAAGGTAAATTTTTATCATTATTATTATTATCATAAAATAATAATATCCTTATTGATGTATAATACGCATTTGGTGTTTTATTAAACAGAATAACAACAACAATTATTATTCTACCATCTTTATATCTTGGACAGGAACAGTCTCAGGGATTGAGGAACTTTATGGTTTATTTAATAATGAAGATGTATGTCTATTATTATAATATTATTATAATATTTAAAATTTTTTTGAAATAATGGACAACATTTCATAAACATAAAACCAACCAATGTTTTTAAATTCTTCATTTATATATAGGTTGCTGATATTAGGTATGTGCCAGGAAAACAATTTGCTCATGTTGATCTTAAGACTCAAGAAGCGTTAGATGAAGCTCTGAAATTGAATTCAGTGGTAATCATCATTATAATAATTAACTATCTATTAATATTTGATTTTTGTTGTTGTTTTAAAGAGAAGGAAATTTAGTCGTAATTACTGTTTATTTTTTATTTATTTTTTATTCTTTCCCTTGATAATTAAAACCTTTTAAAGGTTAAATATCCAACACAAGGTCGATTACGTGTAGAATTAGGCAAGCCACGCAACAACAACAACAACAACAACAACAACAACAACAATGGAAGTGATGGATGGATGGTTTGATATCGATCATGATGCGGTGATGGCTAGAAAATTATTATTGTTAATTTGTTTTAATTATTAGAGGATGAAACATATAAAAAAGAGAATAATCATTAATATTTTATAATTAGCAAGTAAACAGGCTATTTTTCCATTATTATTTTATTATTTATTTTTCAATCATTCTAGATTTTTGTATTTTATTTTCATATATTTTTATTTTTGCAGATCATCATCATATACACAAAAATATCATCATTACCATTATATCTATTATATATTGTTAAAAAAAAATTAATCAAATAAATAAATTAAACAAGAGATAGATGGTGTTGATCCCATTACTTGACCAATATCAAACCTCTCACATTGGGCGGACATATTGCCAAAAAGATCGAATTGTTTGTGTACAGTGCAAGTCGCCTAAAACCTACAACTTTATGTACCACGACGCTAATTTGAAACTATTACAATTACTACAGTAAACCCTCCATAAGTGCACTCCTTGGATGCATTTATAGAGGGAATAATTTTATTGGTTGCACATGATACTAATAAAATTATTAAATATTTAATTATTATCACATGATTTTAAAAGCTTATTAAAAAAGAAAAAGAAAAAAGTAAACCGATAGAATTAAAGCTAGATCTAAGCTTCATTTCCATCGTTTTAATTTTCATTTATTAGAAAAGTATTGAGTTATAAGGTTTCAAAGTTAGGTCATTTCATGTATGTCTATATTAATATGTAAATAAATTTCGGAATGATCTTCCCTTGATTTCCTAAAAGACCGATGATCGGCTTAAAATAAATTAAAAAAAAGATCTTTAAATTCGGACTGACATTTATAGATGACTTGAACCATACTATTATTATTAAATATTAATATTACTGCTGACTAACAAATTGATTCATTGTGGTTTACTACAATAATTCCACCTATAAAAAGATCCACCATCTATGTTCTTTTCTAATAACTCTTTTTTTCATCAATTAAAAAAGAAAGAATACTTGATCTTTTGTAATGAACAAATAATTTAAATTAATTCTTTATTTTATTTTCCACCTATAAATTTCTCCATTTGCATTTTATCATTATTATATAACTCTTTATTAATTAAAAAGAAAGAATTAGCAAACATTTATTTAATTCTTCATAAGTAAAAATAGCTTACTTAATCCTTTATCTCCATTATTAATATTAAAAAAGAGGCATTTAAAAATCCTCAGCCAGCTTATTTTATATATAATTAACAAACTAATAGTAAAAGACTCATCCAATTGTTAATAATTTCATACACTTCATGACCAAATCATACAACATTTTTTTATGACAGGTTTAAGAACATCTGCATATATCATGTTAAATGAGACCAACTTTCCTGTCCTTTTTTCTGTGTAGGCAAAGCCATATGTGCATCATTCCACAGTTTTTAAATTCATCATGTTTGAAGAAATGCATCCAATTTTTTTTTATGAACCAAAATCTATTTAATCAATTTTAATGCTTATTAAAATGCAAATATTAGTTATCTATAAATCCCAAATGATCTAGTGTTCCATGATACAATCAAAAAAGGAAACAAAATGGTTATAAAGGTGGTTGCAATCATTTTTATATGATGCAAAGATGATAGCAACCATCATCAAAAGTTGCAGCCAGTATTATAACAAGTTTTGTGCATTTAATATAGGATCAGAGATTAAAATACAACATACACAAGAGCCATGTTTGTATAAAACACTTACACACAGTGTTGGGTTATATCATATTTTCTTGATGATCAATGGTCATGTGGTCATTTGGTCATTTGGTCATAAGTTTTGACCAATAGAAATTCGTAATTGAAATTTTTAAAAAAAAATTTTTTTTGTTATAAATAAATATGTAAATATGTCAAATAAAAAGAAGAGTCACAATTTTCGAGAATTTTTTGTCCTTGTTAAGAGTGATACAAATAATCAAATGCAAAGGTGGTTTGCATTTGTTGTATGCAAAGGGTCAGAGGTTTAGCTATTGCACAAGTAACATCAGGATGTTTTACCTCAAATAAAGCAAGGCTTTGTCACAATCACCTTGCTAATTGTAAAAATTTTAAGTTAACTTATACCAAAGAAGAAGTAGAAAGAATTTTATCATGTTCTGTACCTGGAGACTTAAAAAATAATGGTAAAGATTTTTCTGAGGCTCCTAACAGATCAGATCAGATCAGATTTGAATGAAATCTGATCTGATCTGATCTGATCTGATCTGACCTGACCTGATCTGAAATTCGATCTGATTTGACATGACCTGATCTGATCTGATCTGATCTGACCTGACCTGATCTGAAATCCGATCTGATCTGATCTGAAATCTGATCTGATCTGTTTGATCTGTTTGATCTGTATATATACAAATTTATGATACCTATTAATATCCTTTATTGAAAAAATCCAATAATATAATAATGATAAATTTCTTTGCATAAAAATACCTTTCAAATGTTTTTAATGATGGTCTTAGTGATAATTTTAATGATTCTTATTAACAATTTTCTTTATTGCATGTGCCTCAAAATTTGGTTAAAAGGGGTATTAAAAAGTTGAAAAAAAAATTTGATTTTTTCTATTTTTATGTAAAAAAAAATTATATTTTTTATATTATCTTTATGCAAAATAAATAAGCACAAAATTAAGCAAATTAAAGTTAATTTCCAAATATGATATTAATATCATATTTTGTGTTGTGTTAAAATATAAATTGATGTGACACAAAAATTATTGATCTCTGAGAATTATCTGATCTGGTTTGATCTGATCTAATCTAATCCGAAATCTGATCTGGTTTGATCTGATCTGATCTAATCCGAAATCTGATCTGATCTGATCTGTTCAGAGCCTTAGATGTTACACGGAATACTATAAGGGAAAATTTACCAATTTAAAAAAAAAGAAAAAAAAAAAACAGAATTATATTCAGAAGATACTCTGCTGTAATACTAATATACATTTGAAATGTTATTGCATGGCGAATTTCTAAGGAAACAATAATAAAAATAAAACTTCCAAAAGACCCGTCACAATATAACAAATGTTGATTGTGATTTTTTCATCACTGGTATTTGTTACCTTCAAAGACCTCTCTGTACCAATAAACTAGATATATTATACATTTCATACTCAAAGTTGGAAACAATACCTCTCTTTTTCACTGACTAGTAGCATTTTGAAAAATGTGTTTTTATTATATCCGTTACACTATTGGCAATTTTTGATGAAGACGTTTTCATCAATGGTGTTTGTTACCTTCAAAAATCTCTCTGTACCGATAAACTAGATATATTATACTATTCCATATCCAAAGTTGGAAATGATATCTCTCTTTTTCACTGACTAGTAGCATTTTGAAAAATGTGTTTTTATTATATCCGTTACACTTTCAGCAATTTTTGATGGAGACGTTTTCATCAATGGTGTTTGTTACCTTCAAAAATCTCTCTGTACCGATAAACTAGATATATTATACTATTCCA